AAAAATACCAGCAATGAAAATGCCCTCATCCGGACCAATGAATATTCACAAGAATATTCCGACAGATGAGTTCGGTTAGCTAGCTATCCCAAGCAATGTACTAAAAAGTATAAGGAATATTTTTTTCCAAATGTGCATGAGTTAGCTTTTGAAATGTAAGAAATAGAGGGAATACGTCGAGACCCCTTGGAACAGGAATCAAAAGACAGATATGACAATATGGAAGAGATCAATAAGTTAAAAAAGTGGAGACGGCAAAATATTCCATGTGAACTCCAAGGGATACAACTCAATAAAGCATCAATGGAGTCTATAAGGCACATATTCTATTTAGTTTTCGATCAGCAATTTCGTTACAATTGACATAAAGGACGTCCTGGTAGATGTTAGCCACCGCAGTCAGACGTTAGGTTCGTCTTTGTAAGGAAAAGTTAACGAAGGCAGGTGTATACGTGAATAGTATTATATATTAGTAAATCAGAAAAGCCCCATATACGAATATTCTAAAGAGGTAAATGTATATAAATGGTTTTCTTTTTAAATAACTAGCAAGGAATCGACACGATCAGGTAAATAAGTCCACTCTGCGAACTACTTGTCATCGAAACTTAGTATTGAATTAGTTGATGGATAAAATTCGATTGGAGGCAACACTCGAATAAAACAATGTTTAATCTGAATCAATAAATAACGAAACGAAAAATAATATACTAGGCGCAAAGTTTAATACTCTTAAAACGTATGAGGACCTATTTTAAAATATGGAAACATAAGAATCAAAAAACATGATTCGACCATTGTCATCACGCAATTAAATAAAGTAATGACACAGCAGTCAGTGAAAAAAAAAGTAAAGCAATAGAGGAAATAAATTAACTGAATTCAGTAGCTCACAGTAACGAGAAAAAAACGAAGGAAATAGAAAAATTGATTATCAAGGATGTTTGGAATGTGGATTGTCGCGTTCAAATATAAAAGCGATAAACGAATGTTAACGATTCACCAGGAATGCTTTTAGATGATAGCACATTTCATTTTCTTTTTTCGTTTTTTGGACTGCAAAGCAGCTCTGGTCGCGATTTCAAAGACTTCACGAACACCTTCTTTGGTTTTGGCTAAAATATGAATCCATTTCTTAAAAAATAGCCTACCTGAACATTCTATATAGGCGTATGCACCTATTTTTTCCGCCATAGCCTTGCCATCTTCTGTTTTTACAGGTTCCTGCTTCATTCTAGCGAGTTCCCTGCGGGTACCTTCATCATTTCTTAAATCCTTCTTGTTTCCGACAAGAATAATCGGTACGTTACTACAAAAGTGTTTTACCTAAATGATTAAAGACATGTTAATACACAAACTTCGGGGGTCCACTTCTCAGGAATATTATCTAAGCTGTCAGGGGAATCAATGCTAAAACACATTAGTATCACATCTGTATCGGGGTAAGAAAGGGGGCGGAGTCTATCATAGTCTTCCTGTCCTGCAGTGTCCCAT